TGCTGTAGTTCCTTCATAGCCCAACATTAGCCTCCTTTAGCTTAGCGGTGGTGAAGTCATGTGACCGGTGCTGTAGTTCCTTTATAGCCCAACATTAGCCGCCTTTAGCTTAGCGGTGGGTTGACATGAAGTCCATGTGACCGTGCTGTAGTTCCTTTATAGCCCAACATTAGCCTCCTTTAGCTTAGCGGTGGTGAAGTCATGGTGACCGTGCTGTAGTTCCTTTATAGGCCCAACATTAGCCGCCTTTAGCTTAGCGGTGGTGATGTGAAGTCATGTGACCGTGGCTGTAGTTCCTTCATAGCCAACATTAGCCTCCTTTAGCTTAGCGGGTGGTGAAGTCATGTGACCGTGCTGTAGTTCCTTTATAGCCCAACATTAGCCGCCTTTAGCTTAGCGGTGGTGACGTGAAGCCATGTGACCGTGCTGTAGTTCCTTTATAGCCCAACATTACACACTACGTTGTGGTGAACTACGTTAAAGCTGTTTCTCTTTCACTTATGAAGCCAGATTGAGTTGCAAAACGTTGAAAATCGCGTAAAAGGCGTAGTCGTTACACATCTGTCTCAGGTTTGTTTCACTTTGTGGTTGTTTTGTGTCTCTTTTTAATTCATATTTACATCTTTTTGTATATCTTTGTAGTAGTTTTGTGTCTCTTTAGGGCTTTATCGTGTACCTTTGGTAACGGCTTTGTGTCTCTGTCTACATTTTCAGTCTTTTCTTTTTCATTTTATTGCCTTTTGTGTAGTCATTTTAGATATTCTTTTTGTGATTTTTGCCTTTTTTAAGTCTTTGAGTCCCTGATTGGTTGAAACGTGTCCCTAATGGCGCGTTTCCACTACAGGCGCGGAGCACGGTTTAAGAGGGCTGTGTGACGTCAGCGGCCCGTCTTGGTTGCGTTTCCACTTGGGCCTAGTACCGGCCGGTGGGTCCTAATTCACAGTTTTCTGGCCTCATCAAATCGTGGTTCTAGGGCCAGAGACAACGAGGCTGAGTCGGCTGTAGTATGCTAACTAGAGAGAGAATCGCTGGCAAGGGGGCTACAACTACAACAAGATGGACATATTTGACCGTGATTTAATTGTAATACACGTTTCAAAATGATGCCGAAGTAACAACATACTGATACCGGTTAGTAAAAACCATGAATTAATGCTTTGACAAGTCTGCAGACAGACGGCAGGCGACACACCTTTTAAAATGCGTGTTTTCTAAATGGGAGATTGGCTAAGCTAACGCAATATATGCTCCGACCGTCCCACACTCACAACAACGGCCTATACAGACATAAATAAAGCAAGCGACTGTACTCGCAATGACACAGGCAGTCTGTGGTGTGTACCTTGTTTAACTTTTGTCTAGTTTCTGAACATATATGAAGGAGCTGTGAGCTCTGAGGGTCTAACAGCTAACGGCTGTGGTTGTTTTTTCTGGGGTTCTCATTGAAGATGACGTCACGGCTCCGCCTACACTGCGTTACTATAGATACTACCCACCCCAGTTCCTAAACTGTAATGGAAAATGCGCCATAAAGTGAGCCAGTCCTAACGAGCCTAGCCATACCGAGCGAGGCCGAGCGATGGCCGTGTAGTGGAAATGCGCCATAAAGAAGTAACCAGCGTGGCCCCTGATACTTGTGGCCCATTCATAATCCACCCAGGCTGTTCAGCATCTTCTTTGAACTTCCAACACAAAACTATTATTAATCATCAAACTGAATTTCACATGAATTCCATATAAAAATGGTCCACCATGAACCTTTTCTGGCTTGTTGAAGCTTTTAATATCATTATTTTCCATATTTAGAAAGTCATTTTAGACGTTTTAATTCATTCCTTATTTAAACAATAATTTTCTCTCCACTAACACAGGAAGCTCTGCACAAAGAGTGGACGTTTCAGAGCAGAAGCCGTCTATTCAGGAGAGACGAGGGTCAATGAGACAGTATTTCCTGTCCTAATCTGAATATTTTAACCCTTTATTAACCCTCTCTCCTTCTCGGTATGTAATTCCTTCCTCTCACAAACTCAAAACTGTCCCATAACGTCTACATTAGAAACAACAGGAAATAATAAAACCAGCTGTCCTCAGTACATTAACCGTGTGAAAGATGGCGGTCCAGACGTGGAAAGTGACGCAGCTGTTGACTCGTTGTTTATCCCCATGGTGCAACAGGAACAGGAAGTGAAGATGTGTCCAGCTGAATAGGCGTGGGAACCGTTCCCTAAACAATGTCCTCCATTTCTCTCTGTGTGCATGAGGGTGAAAAACCTCAATCAGGAAATCTCTCAAAGTTGTAATTAGCTTGGTGGAAGAACTCAAAGCTAAAATTAGAAATACTACAGAGTACAAATACTCATTAATAATAAATCTGCAATGGAGCGAGTTACTAAATTCTATAAAATAAGAGTAAATAAGGACATTGTTAGCCAAAAATGTTAGGGGGGTAAAAGTTTAAAGTAGCATAATGTGGAAAAAACTCAATTGAAGTACCTACATTTCTTAAGTAAAAGTACTTAGTTATTCCACCAATGCCATAAAGACAATTCCTCGTTATCATGAGGTGTTGGTGAACTTGTAAACAATGAACAATTAAACCCCGAGGCCGCAGCTGTGACGAATCGCTGACGGGACGCCATTCACACTTCCTGCTATTATCTTTGAAACACTACTCCATAATTTTCCTGACTTTCCCCCGTGAACGACGGCAGCGTTCGTCATTATAGCTTCACAATAGTTACAATAGAATCCACCTGTGACTCAAAGTGTGTGGGAGAGAAGGAAACAGGGATTTTAGCCTTTGCAGACCATTTACATGCACGAAAACCAACACTACAGGAGGAAGGAACACACAGAAAGCAGAATAGGGCCTCTTTAAAGATCCTCTGACTGATGGTAGGAGCCCCCTCCTCTCTTTTATGACTAGTTATGGGTTTTATATAAAGAGTTACGCAAACTGTTGTATAATCAGGCAGTTGTTCCCTGAAGTGTCCTTGATTTACACTCATTATATCACTATTTGAGTAAATTGAACTAATAACAAGAGAATGACGTCATGACCTTCCCCTTTGACCTGCCGAGACGACCTGATCTGAACCAAAAATAAACAACACTTATATTTTTAGTCTCCTAAAGTTGACATGATGTCCTTACCCGGTTGACTTTACCCACAGTGTGTGTGTTGGTGTGTGGTGTGTGTGTGGTGTGTGTGTGTGTGTGGTGTGTGTGTGTGTGTGTGTGTGTGTGTGTGTGGTGTGTGTTGGTGTGTGGTGTGTGTGTGTGGTGTGTGTGTGTGTTGTGTGTGCGTGAGGATGCATTCTATATTATGTGGTGTGTAGTTGTTACTAATTCAGTCGTGTGTTTAAATCAAACAGACAGAGGAAACAAACGATGAGCTTCCTCCAGGGATTTATTTACAAAAAACGTCCTGTCCAAACGCTCTGGAAAATACAACACACACACACACACACCCACACACACACACACACACACATTGTCTGTCTCTGTGTTGACAGGTCTGAGGAGTTTGTTTCCTCGAGTCAAGTGTTAAACAACAACTGACCGATGATGACGTCAAACACACGATGTTTGTCAAACTTACATAACACTGAATATCTAGTGTTTACAGTTTTAATGTAAATAAAACATTTGTTATTGTTTATTTAATTATTGGATGTTCACTTTCAAATATATGCGTATTTGGTTGTTTCACCACCCTCTCTCTGTCTCTTTGGATTTTGTTATTTATGAGACACTTTTATACCGTTGTTTAGATTCCAGGACACTGTGTTTATTTACCACTTTAACTCTTCACCACACGTCACACACACACACACAACACACACACCACACCACACACACACACACACACACACACACACACCACACACATGGCATTGCTTAACGTTGCACAGACGCTGGATCTTTAACAGAATATGTCACGGAGAAACGTGGTCACAATCCCAAACAAACACAAGTGTTTATGAAAGTAATTACAGAGGATAGTGTGTCGTCATCAGGAATGAAAAGGGGAATGCTTTTAATTTGAAGAGGGTTTTACCCAGGGGCAACCATTAAGTGGGTTAAAGGTGCAGGATGCTAAAGTCTGTGAGTCACTGCAGTTGTTTTGGAGTCTGAGAGTAACATTAAGAGATTAAAGGCCATCTTTGTTTTCCTGCAGAAAACAACGCAGAGGTGTGTGTGTGTGTGTGTGTGTGTGTGTGTGTGTGTGTTTGTGTGTGTGTGTGTGTGTGTGTGTGAGTGTGTGTGGTGTGTTGTGTGTGTGTGTGTGTGTGTGTGTGTTGTGTGTTTCTTCTTCTCCGCAGCGTCTTCTAACCTGTTGAATTTTTAAACCCTGCTGACAAGATGTAATCCAGCCAGACGCCATGATGGATCATCATCATTTCTCACATGATTACTCGCTCAGTTTCTCCCACAAATATACTAAAAGCTTGGTTACTTGCCACTTATACTCATTTCTATAGTTACAGTGGAGGTAATTAAAGTTGCATTAAAAAATGTTTTACACTTATTAATGTCGTGTTGTCTACAAGGAGGGATTCATGTAAAGATTTACTGGACGAGGTGCAGGGGAGAGCCTCTGCTTGAGCTGACTGTTTGCATTTCTTGATGAATAGTAAATCAAAGACTTGCAAAATGACCACTAAGGGATGCACAACAACAACAACAACAACAACAACAACAACAACAACAAATAGACGTCAAACTGCTTTAAAAAGACACAAAACACCCCAAAAGAGATGCAATATGAGCAAAAAGTGATGCAAAACCACCAAATAAAGACGCAAAACGCAAATATAATGTGTTTTATGCTCTTAATGTCTTTCATTGTAAAGCGCTTTCAATTGCCTTGTGTTGAAAAGTGGTATATAAATAGCCTTGCCTTAAACTGAAAGAATTTAAATGTTCTTACTTTTCAGAGTTTAAATCGTGTGATTAAAACCCAACATTAAATGTGTGTTTTCTCTCTCCTCCTGCAGTGATCGAGTGTGTTCGGCCTTCTTCTGTGTATCTCTGCACACGGTGAAGATCAGGCGGAGATGGCGGCGCTCCTGAAGGCATCAGGAGGAGTCGGGGGGGTGAGGTCTCTGCACATCCTGATGCTGGTTCTCCTCCAGCAGCTGTGGTTTCAGCCAGTAGTAACCAGCACCACTGAAGAGCCCAAAGCCTGGAGACAAACTGGGCCCAGACTGCAGCTCTCACACTCAGGTAGGAACCAGAAAGCAAAGTGTTTAATCCTCTGTCTTCACCATTTGTGTGGGCTGTCCCTGAAGGCAGCATCTCCCTGGTCCAATGAGATTTCTCCGTGTGATTTTGCGTAGAAAAAATCATCTCTGTGTCAAACAAACGTTTATGATACTTACACGTTTAGTTCAGCAGGATAATCTCCACATATTAACACCACTTTATGATTTCTGAAGTAAAAAGCTAATGTTGGGCTATAAAGGAACTACAGCACGGTCACATGACTTCACGTCACCACCGCTAAGCTAAAGGTGGCTAATGTTGGGCTATAAAGGAACTACAGCACGGTCACATGACTTCACGTCACCACCGCTAAGCTAAAGGAGGCTAATGTTGGGCTATAAAGGAACTACAGCACGGTCACATGACTTCACGTCACCACCGCTAAGCTAAAGGTGGCTAATGTTGGGCTATAAAGGAACTACAGCACGGTCACATGACTTCACGTCACCACAGCTAAGCTAAAGGTGGCTAATGTTGGGCTATAAAGGAACTACAGCACGGTCACATGACCTCACGTCACCACCGCTAAGCTAAAGGTGGCTAATGTTGGGCTATAAAGGAACTACAGCACGGTCACATGACTTCACGTCACCACCGCTAAGCTAAAGGTGGCTAATGTTGGGCTATAAAGGAACTACAGCACGGTCACATGACTTCACATCACCACCGCTAAGCTAAAGGCTAATGTTTTAGGGGTTTAGTGCTTTGCTCAAGACTCCTCTTTAGCTACCAATCCACACTATGTACTTAACCAGCGATCCTTCTATTATAATAATTAGGTAGTAATAATAATACTGCCACCCTTATATGGTCAGACTGGGTTGGGGTTGTTTATTAGCACTTGTTGTCATAAACTTTCTGCATGCATTTCAATTGTGTAATGCTAGCACATTAGCATGGCATAGTAGTTATCGTTTGTAGCTTCAGAATTAAGTAGCACCCACTGTAAACATCCCTTGTAGCTCTTGTGCTGTGCGCGGTTGTTGTTGTTGTTGTAGGTGCAAAAAGTTGCCGTTTTAAACATAAATTCGTCTTCTGTGGTGTTTAAAAGTATGAATAGATTAGCACTATTAGCTTTCTTAGCATTTGTTATCCTCCTATGAGCGAACAAACACGTGGTGCAGTTTTTGATAAAGTAGGGATTTAATGACCACATATAAAACATATATCTTTGCTAGCTTAGCAAAAAAATAAAGAGTCGGGTTTCACCATTTTCTTTTTCAAATGATGATTTTGTAATGAACAGAAAATGAGGGTTTTATTTCTTCACATGTTCAAAGTGTGTGTGAGGTGAGTGTGTTCCTGATCAGGATATTTCCATCATCTCCCCCTCTCTCCACC